CTTATATATTTTATACATATTTTATTTATAATAATATAACATTTAGACAATTAATATTAATAATAGTAATATTACTATTAACAACAAATAATAGCAAATTGGCATTTATTAATAATAATAATAGTAATATAATAATAATAATAATAATAATAATAATAATAATATTAATAATAATAATAATAATAATAATAATAATAATAATAATAATAATAATAATAATAATAATAATAATGACAATTAACAATAGCAATAATCAATATTTATTCCCAAATAATCCACGATAAAACGGGGTATTACAGTCTATCCACCTTACAAAGAATTCCGTCCTCGGAATTCTAAAATAAACTAGAAAGCAATAAAAAAAACACAAAGGGAAATCAGAACTCAAAGTTCAGATATCGCCTCCGAAGCTCGGCCTCCTTTTCCCAAGTCGCCTCCGACTCGTCATGTCGGCTCCAAAGCACCTTCACCAAGCTCACTGCCCGGTTTCTCAATTGAAGGACCTTCTGGTCAAAAATAGCTACTGGTACCTCCACGTAGGTAAGGTCTCGCTCGACCTGCAGTTCGCCGAAGTCCACCACGGGACCGGGATCATGCACGTATCTCCGCAACATCGAAACGTGAAACACGTCATGCACTCCCGACAAGCTAGGTGGTAAAGCCAGCCGATAAGCTAAGCTTCCCTTTCTTCCCGAAGCGAATCACACCCTTTATGGGTGAGACCTTCAGGAAGACGTGATCTCCGACGGCATACTCGTGCTTATCCCTCTTCCGGTCGGCATAGACTTTCTGTCTCTCTTGGGCTGACCGGATATGCTTCCGGATAACCTCAACTGTCTCTGCAGCTCTAAGAATGAACTCCAGACCCATGATCGTCCTCTCCCCGACCTCATCCCAGTACAAGGGGGTTCGGACCTTACATCCATACAAAGCCTCGAACGGGGCCATCTTGATCGAGGAGTGATATCTATTGTTGTAAGTCAGCTCGACTAAAGGCAATGCACTCTCCCAGGTTAGGCTACGGTCCAAGACCACAGCCCTCAATATGTCCTCCAAGTACTGGATCGTCCGCTCCGACTGACCATCTGTCTGAGGATGAAAAGCTGTACTGAACTCCAGCCTCGTCCCCATGGCCCGATGCAGAGTCTTCCAGAACTGACTAGTGAACTTCGCGTCTCGATCAGACACAATCTCCACGGGAACTCCATGAAGTTTGACAATCTCGTCCACAAACAATTCGGCATACTGACTAGCCTTCATAGTCGTCCGGACCGGCAGAAAGTGGGTCGACTTCGTAAGGCGATCCACAATCACCCAAATAGAGTCATGCCCGGTCCTCGACCTCGGCAATCCCACCAAGAAATCCATGGTGATGCACTCCCACTTCCACAAGGGAACCTCAAGTGGCTGCAACTTCCCTCTCGGCTTCTGATGCTCAGCCTTCACTTGCTGACATACCAGACACCCATTCACGAACCTTGCCACTTGCCACTTCATACCTCGCCACCAGAAAGACTTCCTCAAGTCCTGATACATTTTTGAACTACCAGGATGGACGGTGTACGGGGCACTATGGGCCTCTTTCAAAATCTCCCTTCGCAATTCCCACACCTTCGGAACACAAAGTCTACCCTCGAAGACCAAGGCCCCATCAGATGCGACTGCAAATCCTCTAACTCTACCGGCTTCCGACAACTCCTTCATCCAGCAAAGGAAACGATCATTCGGTTGCTCGGCGACTATCCTCTCACGAAGAGCCGGTCCCACAACCAAAGAGGTCAACATACCCCTGGCTGTCGAAGGTGGATCCACTGCCTCTAGCTGTAGCCGCTCGAACTCTCGAAGGAGTACATCTTGCTCGGTGAAGAGACAGGACAACTGGCAATAACTCCTCCGACTAAGGGCATCGGCTACCACATTAGCTTTCCCCGGATGGTAGCTAATCATGCAATCGTAGTCCTTGACCAGTTCCAACCACCTACGCTGCCGAATATTCAGCTCCTTCTGAGTGAAAATGTACTTTAAGCTCTTGTGGTCGGTAAATATCTCACACTTGCCTCCATAGAGATAGTGCCGCCAAATCTTCAAGGCATGAACGACTGCAGCTAACTCGAGGTCGTGAGTGGGGTAGTTCTGCTCGTGAGGCTTCAGCTGCCTCGAAGCATAGGCTACGACCCTCCCCTACTGCATAAGGACACATCCCAAACCCATCTTCGAAGCATCACTATAGATGGTGAACTCCAAAGTAGGGTCGGGAATGGATAGAACGGGCGCGGTAGTGAGTCTCCTCTTCAACTCCTGGAAACACTCCTCACACTTAGGACTCTTGTTGGGTTCTGTTAGGAACGTCAAACAACATGCACATCATTGAACTTTATCGAAATAAATCCTAACGCAGCGGAATCTATAGTTAGGATATGGACGTTTACCTTTTAAAATTTTTGCCGACTCTGAGACGATGTAGAGTACCGTTGGTGAAGTTCGTCTGAACACCACAACCTAATGGGCGGATAGGTTTGGCCTTTAATCGATTCTAATCGATAGGTTCCACGAAACTCGATCACACGGCACGTGGGTCTCGGTCGTCGGGTACAGCGGGTGTCGTGCGCGTC